AATTTGGGAAAGGTGGGTTTTATTTTAAGAAATAATTTTTCATATTGTTTATAATTGAGAGTAATCTTTACACCAACTGTGAAAATTACCTTAAAAAGAGTATAGGTTAGGTATACAAGTAAGGGAAGGTAGTGGTACCAGAAACACACAATGTTATCTTGTTTGGCCTTATTGTGATTTTATGAACAATGACCAAAAGGTCAATGTCGTATATGCATGACTGCATGATCTCACAAGTGATTTGTTTACTGGAAGAAACATATTGACAAAAACATAACAATGATTAATCTGTTACCTGACATTAAGTCATATATAATATGGTAATTAATCAGGATTAAAATATATAGCTGTGTCCACACCTGTTTCTCTTCATAAAACAATGATTTTCACAAAATCCACTGAGGTTGGGTCCCAAACCACTGATGTTACCTTCGATTCTTTTAAGAGTTAGAATAAGAAAATCCTTTGTATTTTGAAATAAGGAAGAGTGGAAAAATGGGATGAGTTTTAATGATTTATTTAAACAGGGTTGAATTAACTTAACAGTAAATCACCAATTCCATAAATGAAACAAGCCAGATTTGAAATTATAATATGTTAAAACTGTATATGCATATATTTTAAAAAGGAGCCAATCTGAAACTGAAAAAGGTCAAAATTAAAAATATCTTCTTTGAATAAAATTTGAATTTTCGATGTGAAGCCAGTGGTGTAGGCGATAAACTGGACTGATTTCATTGTAAACCTTCTGAGTGTTAACAGTGTTGCTCTCGTCTACATTTGATATATTGTACAATCATGTCAAATTTGCTTCCTTTAAATTAAGCAGTTATAATTTTGATGACTTAACATAAATTGACAATGACAAGACAAAACTTGGGTCATACATAATCATAGAAATATGAATATTCACGAGACATTAAAACCCCCCAATAATTTATCAATTTTATAGAATTGTCACCATGCTACAAAATCTAACGTCATATGACGACAGTGTCCACACCTGATGGGGATACTCAAGGCCACTCTCTTCTTCTTGAGTGATATGAAAAAGATGTTATAAAGGGACTTGAGCAAGTCTATATATGATTTATGGGGTGTTTATTTTATGAAAACTAACATCGAATCAAATGTTAAATTCAATGTCTGTATTGAACTGCATTTAAGTTAAGAAATCCTCTGTACAGGAAACCCTGAACAAAAAGCTTTAGTTCTGGTCTACTGAATCATGTGTTGATAAAATCCTAAACCATATTGTTGTTAAAAAGTGTTTTTTTAACATAAAACTGAATTGTATGTGGGCTGAAGGAGTTACCACTTGTAACAGCTGTGTGTAAAAATAGATATTCTTTGGTGTGACGCAAGTGTTTACCAAACAAATACTTAGGCCATTGTACCTTATATCTATGGCCACCTACGTGTGACCTCCTTATCAATCTACGTCATGACCCGATATTGCTACAGATCCATTATACCAGCAGTCTGAACAACCACACTCAAAGCTTTTACACAAATTACTACAAAGTGTAAACCCACCTTGAATAACAAGCAAGCACTATTGATCAGAAATATATACACATGCCAAAAATAATAGTGGGCCATAGAACGTTCAAATTAAATTTTCAATAATGAGCAAGGCTTTGTAACGTCACTCTGTTATCGCTGTACTTTATAATATCTCTTCAAAGGGCATAATTATCTCGTCATCAATATGTATACAGTTATATACTGTTTGTATGATAATAGCTCAACGTTGAACAAGTAAATTGTGCTAAAATTGCTCAGGGTAGCTCAGAGAGGGAAAATTATACATAAATAGTTATAACAACATTAAAGTTCCTCAAGCCTTGTTAGCTTTAAATAAAGATATTTCAAATGTTTAATCTTTGAGTTGTTATTGAACTCAATAGCAAACTGTGCCATCCTGATAACCAAGTCTCGCTATCACCCTCAAACAATGGATTATTACAGACATAATGCATAAAAGCCTAAATAGGTATATTATTTTAGACGGTCTTGCACCGATTATATTGCCATTGGCAGAATTTTGGTATTTAAGATATTACACTAAAATTAAGGATTTATTTTTATTTTTGACAATCAAGAATCTAGCAACCTGAAAAAAAGATCAGAACTTAAAATACCGTACCTCAATCTATATCTATGTTTGGCTTTTTCATCGGGCTCGTCGCTACAACTATTGGCACTTTTAAGCTTTATCGAAAGAGGTTCTCGGGGCGACCACATGTACTAACCATATTGCTTTTTGAGAAAGATTGTGAGCGTCGGTCGGTAACGGGTCGGCACATCTAGAATTTGGAGACTTGCTAAAATGGAGTCACTTTACATTTTCTATTAACACATACCTTGGAATTATATCTCGATAGATCTACCGTTTGTCTTGTTTTTCTTTCTTCTAAAACCTATTGCGTCAACATGCAGAAAAGTTACCTCTCCTGCTTGAAGAGCTCGAATGCTCTCCCGCGTTATTTATGATGCTGGGAATGTTGCTTTAGTTGTAGTTTGTGTTTAGTTAGAAATCAGTAAACTTAAATTCATTCATAGAAATGAAAATAAAGAATATGGGTGTAAAGGAAATAGTGGCCATATCTATAATATTTTGTTACTGAAGATGGGAAAGATTGTCACACAAATCTACTTTTTTATTGTATCATTATTTTTGTGAACAAATTTTCAACATGAAAATGTATAGCCACAGCAGACACTTCAGCTTCCGGGAAAATATCATGTGACTGTCGAATAAAGTAGACTTCATGTGCCTTATAAAGATATAGGAGCTGTTTAAACAAAGACATGGAGTATTTTTTTATTTTATACAATAAGTATCCTGTATCTCTGTCGGTAATAAAGAAAAGTAAACACGATTTAAAGCCTGCAGAACTGTAAGCTATCCCAGTTCACAATAAGTACATTGTACTCCAACCAGGATTCTGTACGCCAGGCATATATTTATTCCCCCTAGTGTAGAGTTTCAAACATTAGTAATTGCTTCCTACACAATTTTACACCTAGTTCACCTCAGACAAAGCTGGTGTGTATTGTGTAGCCCGACCAGACCCGGTACAACACTCAAACTGCCAGTTATAATTGCGCTTGGAGAACCATTGCACCTTACCCCCTAGTGTTTGTAAGTTATCAGTACCTGGATTTTTGCCAATATAGCCCTAACTCCAATACACCTGGAAGTATGGCTGTTCGTGTACGTGATTCAGTTCAAACGTGATTTAGTTATGCCTACATATCCTGACCACAAGAACCCGAGGCATTCATATATAAAGGTTCATTCATACCATCAGCACCTAGTGCTGATTTTTTTTTTGGGGGGGGGGGTCTACAACTGAAAGTAGAAATTCCAGTTATGAATGAGATCCTACATTGACATGATATTAAGATAATTTTAAGAGAAGTCCCCAAGAATTCATATAACTCTTTCCAACGGATATAGGGACAAATGACCCACGATATAATTTACCATCATATTTCTGTTATGGTTGCAGGTATTGTGAGATACGATCACTAAAAACACATATAAACATCTATTTTTTTTTAGAAAAACACATAATATCCTTTCATTTGATTAAAAAATGTTTTCTGAAATAAAGAGTGAGGGAGAGAATATTACTAGGACAATGAAACATGTAAACAACTTTGTTTTAACACTGTGCACACAAATTTCAGAAATAATCAACCCAGCCTATATGTACAAGTGTTGAAGACTTATATAACACCTTGACACTGGTACATGTGTAAATTGGGAGTATTTGCATAAAAAAAATATTTTTTATGAAGTATTAATTCCCACACTTGTGATATACGCTTTCTGAATTTCTTACGAATATTTAAATGTCTGTCATTCTTTGTAAATTAAAATAAGACACTGTAAAGTCTGATGAGAAAAATCACAAAATGTAACAATAGTCGACATTGATTTGTTCTCACTCGTCAATTCTGACAGAAGTAATACACATAGTTAGCGATCACTGCACATGCTCCGACAGTACTTTACAACTATTGTTCCACTCTACCTAGCTGTCCTTACAGGTACCGGCATGCAGGTGTGCAAAACAAGAGAAAGGAAATGGCAGAGACTGATAAGTTTTATCTTTCACATATCAAGAAACATTTACAAAATTCAAAAGCCATGCTATTCCATTGTGCGAAACATTAAGATGCAAACAAATTTGACCTTGTTCTGATTTTGAAGAAACCCTAATAACGAGATACACACTATTTCAATGAAACAGGATTAAATTGGGTCCTAGAATCTTCGATTCCCTCACATCCTACATAATAACACATTTCTTGTTGTTTAGAAATCAATACATACACAGAATTACTTACCTGTAAGGGAACACGTCAAAACACAGGACTTACCTCATGTAAAGGTATTATAACCGTGGTCAGCTTGGATAGAGAAAAAATACCTAACAGTGGCCTTAGTTATATAGAAAATGATAATCTCCATGTATGACATTGGCTTGACAGATGATCTCTCAAGTTTTTAAGTTTTCTTTTTACACTCACGCCACACGTATACCTGCGTAGCAAGAGGTCAAATATTACATAGTATACATTGATGGACACTCTAGTTAGGTCCCCCTCGGTGTGTGGCCATGACTACGATGTTTCGAAGGGTTTTCATTTTAAATGTACTTCTCCCCCACCCCATCAAAACGCTCTATTTATTTATTCCCCACCCCGCCCCACCTATATTTTTCTACCTCAGGAGAAAACATTTTTGATGACTGCTAGGGATGACAGATCTGTATGGATGACCAAGCTAGGGCTGGCATGTTCTCTAGGGATGACCAAGCTAGGGATGACAGAGCTGTATGGATGACCAAGCTAGGGCTGGCATATTCTCTAGGGATGACCAAGCTAGGGCTGGAATGTTCTCTAGGGATGACCAAGCTAGGGCTGGCATGTTCTCTAGGGATGACCAAGCTATAGTGCTGACAAGTTCTCTAGGGATGACCAAGCTATAGGGCTGACAAGTTCTCTAGGGATGACCAAGCTAGGGCTGGCATGTTCTCTAGGGATGACCAAGCTA